TGGCTGGCACAAACCTGTTTTCATCTGCTTTCTTTATTGAGATCTGAACCTTCTCTTCCTCTACCCCATTCCCACACTCCCTTGCTCTAACTATGTTTCTTTTTCACACAGGGGTGTTGTCCCTTTGTCTTCACATGTGGGATTTGTCCACTCCATTGCCTGCAGGGCTGGACTATCCAACTGTAACCCACTTTTTGGCATTTTCGATGTCTGACCATAGTTTATCAGTTTCCACTATTGCTAGTGTTCAGGTGGCTTTATCAACTGAATTTTTTATTTCATGTTACTTTCAGGTGTTTCTTTTCCTGTACTCTCCACTTTATTCCAATCCTTCCTTCTTCACTGACCCACTGTTGTACTCACATACTTGATTGGGACTTTGATGTTATTTTACATGCTCTTGCACATGCTCCATTCCAGGTGCTGGCTTCATGTTCATTATACCTTCTTTCTCTGAAGCTGTATTTTCTTCTTCTGGCTAGAGGTTGCTGTCATTCTGATGTTTATGCCATTGATGCTTCCTGCACTCTCTCACTGCACTTACTTCCTCCTCTGTTCAGATCTGGCCTTTCTTCCTGAGACTTTGGCTGCTCAGAAAGGTGATTGTTCTTTCATATTTCATCCCATCTGATTTGTCAGCTGTCTTGCTCTTGCATTTCGTTTTCATCGATCCTTGGATGAGATCCTTCAGTCTGGCATGTGGATAAATTCACACACACTCATCTCCCATTACTTTCATCTTCTGTGGGATTTTGGCTTCCTCCATTCGCTGTTCTTCAATAAACCTACATACTTTTTTCAGCACCCTTCTCCCTTTTATAGGATCCTGCCAGGTGCCTGGTAGTGTCTCCCAGGTATGCTTATTTCTTAAAATTCACATTCGGCCAGTGGTGATGGAACTGCTCAACCCATCTGCCGTGGCTCTTTCAGTGCCCATTGTTGAGGTGAGGGTTTTGCAAGAACACTAGAGGTATCCTCATAGACCTATTTCACACTGCTCAAGTGCCTGATCCAGTCCATACCATTTCATGGATTGTCATTGAAAAAGCTTGCACCAGAGAAGTGTGTGCCCACTTCTTTGGCTTGCACTTGCTGGCTTTTAAATATAGGCTTTCACAGTCACCCATTGCATTGTCTCCAGTAAAAGACCTTTTCAGCATGCATCCAGTGGTGATCTGGGCTTGCACACCTTGAAATCTCCCCTTCTTCAAGTGAAGCATGGGAGACCCTTGCCATTTACCTGTTCCTACCTGCTGGAAAGTTCCTTACTGTTGTGCTCAGCACTGGTGGGAAGTAGGGAAGTGGAGACACCATGTAGTGTGGGTTATACCTCAACCAACTACTGTGCTCTCTCTCTCTCTGTTGTGAGAGTCTGTCCAATTGATTTGAGATGAGACATACACTGTACAGTCTGATTGTGCTCTAACTACACTACACTTCTGGGCTTGCTAACCACTTGTGTGCAGGTGCTCCGTTGGTTATGATCAAATACTGCCCATCCCCTCTACACTTGAGGCTCTTTTGCTTTTTCCCCTGTTTCCTTCCAGGTGAAGAAAATACCCTGGTCAAGATGAGATGTGGTCACATTCCATGGGCTTTCTCTTCAACTGCTTTCTGGAGGGAGCTCATTTAGATATAATTTTTGCACTGGCCCCTTAACCTCTTCAATGTGAGAATCTAATTACTTTGTGAAGTGGTGAGGTATCAGCTTTGGAGTAAACATTTTCCTTACCTGAAAATGTATTTCTGATAGATACCTCTGCACACCTTCCCACCCTTACTCTCCACTTCCCTTACATTTTATTCTTGCCTCATGTAAGAGTGAAGCCTTTCTGAGTGCAAGTGCTTAAGGGGAGATACTACACAAAGAGGTTTTATTGCCCTCCTATTGGTGGAGAGCTATCGTCACATTAAAGTGACATTATGCATTAGTGTAGTTCACATTAAACATGATTTTTATGTGGGAGTTAGCTCAAGGCTAGTGGCATGCAAATCTCATGAACCTATTCTGTGTGAGAAGTGAGTAACTGTTGGAAATACATTTTTAGGTTAGGAAAATGTTAACATTAGCAATAATCAGACTTGGTCATAACTCTCATCTTATTGTAGTACCAATGATGTTATTGAACTGGTAACTGTGGGTAGAGGAGTTCATGTTGTATGAAACTATAATTTTTAATTTGGTCATAATATGGGCTTTATTGCCCATATGAGATAATATATTTTGATATAAAATATAAATTATGTGGATTTCTATTTGATTATCGTTTGTAACTTAAGAATACTAATAGACTTGTATATGGTCAAATTTTTAAAAGTTTTTGGAGCTTGTGGACAGAATAGATATTATGGTATAAGCTAAGAAAAATACGGTATCTTTTATAGTGCATGTTGAATGTAGATGAAACTAATAACATAGCAAATCATAAGAAATATTACCTAGGTTCAAAGAGTTTCAGATAGGTTTTGAAGATCTTTGTGGATCTTTTCTATTTGAACAAGAGGTTTTATGTGAGGGGGGGGGGGTCATTCTATGACAAATCACTTAACTGGTAATAACCTAACATATGCAATTTACACCAAACTCAGTACATATAGTTTTTCCATAAATTTTAATAAATTTCAGCCTGATCAGGTCATGAAGATAAAAGTTAGAAAAAGGGTCAAATTTTGTTTATGGGTGTCTCCCAACTATTAATTAATTTTTTACTCTAATAAAACTTTTGTGCTACAGATTTGTTTTAGTTATTATTTTATCAGAAATTGCATTCACAAGGTTTCCAAAAATGGTGTATGTGTCTGAACAACAGACCAGTTAAGTTTCCCTTTACCAACTGTTTTTTCCTTGAGTAAAACCACAAAAACTTTTTCAAGTGCTTTTGTAAAAATAAGTGTATCGCCTTTCATCAATAAATCTACAAGAAAATAATTTACTGTGAATAAAATCCAACTTTAGGTGTATCTTTCATATCAGATAATAGATATGAATTATATTCAGATGATGTGACTTATAATTAACTGAGAAATACTATTGTAAGAATTCAGTGGCATGTCTAAGGTAATATCATGGCAACAGTAGCAGATTTTCTTCCAGGTAAAATTTACACCAACTAGTGTAATTTTTTGTGGCCTCTTAGCCTTTTGAGATCTTGGTTCCATACCTTGAAGCCTCCAGTGGATGATGCAGCAGCATAGCGAAAGCCATGCCTGAATAGGCACAATCCTAATCAATGCTGGAGTGAGTGTTTACGAATTCTCAACCAAAAACAAAAATTGAAGTATAGAAAACTTGTTTGTTGTAGTAGGGGTGGTACAAAGTGTGAGGAAGGGGAACTCTTTTTGATCTCTTGTTCTAGCACTGGTCCAGTAATTTGCAACCAATTTTCTATACATCTGTCTTTCTATTTGAAACTTATAGTCTTCATCACCCAAAAGGTACTGGTAAGCTGTGTAGTTCTTTTGAATTTCATATCAGGTGCCTCTCTGCTTCTTCTTGTACTTTAATGTGAAGATTTGATGTGAGTTTTAAAGAGTTAAGATATATTATCTGAAATTAACTGTTTCAGCATTAAGGTATGCAGCTGGTTGAGTATGTTCCAATAAAACAGTTTTGAATATTCAAATGAGCAAGTAATGTGAGAACCTTAGCTGATATCCAGCTGTGGAATAGATCTATCAGAACCACATTTTAAATTTTTTAGCATTTTATAGGTAGTATTGTTTGTTTCTAGTTAAACACAAAGCTACACAGTGGGCTATCTGTGTTCTGCCCATCACGGTATTGAAACCCGGTTTCTAGCATTGTAGATTTACAGACACAGCTGTGCCATTGGGGGCTATAGGTAGTAAAATACCCACAAAAATAGATTGCTTTTGGGAACTGTGTGTAACAACCCTCTCCATCCCAACATTTTCACAAACTCAGATCCTAAAGTTGTGTTCAGATTGGGAATTTATAATTTACAAGATGGAAATATCCCTTGTACTTAATTGCATTCAAAGAATATTAATCAACTTGGGATACCAGGACCATCCTAAGAAAGACCTGCAACAAGTGATAATCCAGCCATGGTAAGCAAAGTGTAGTATCTGGTAAGAAGTGAGCAAAATTTAGTGGCAACAGCTGTCAGTGTGCCCCAGGCAACAGTATGCAGCATAATCAAGAAGGATGTCCATTTCGAAAAGTACATAGGTTTCTTGTATGACATATCCATTGAACTGTCGCATACCTCAAGCAGCTAAAGAATGAAACGGGTATTCATGCAATTCCATATGAAGACATGCTGGTTGAGCTGCTGGATGCAGCACCTGTAGATTTATATGATATTACACCATTGAAATAGGTGGTAGGAAACTATTATCCTTATACACTAGACAAATTATGAAAAGCAGCTGGGAGGAGTGGTGTGTTATGAGCATGGCACCTTACAGTTGAGCTTTTTGCCTTGGAAACTAACTGCAAGACTATTGTCAAGATGCGTGATAATCAGATAGAACATGACTGGACACTGTGATATAGGCTGTAACAATGTGGTGAGGTTTCATAATCATTTTTGTCAACCTCTGTAATTCAAAAGAGATACCTTTACTACATGTATATCATTTCTGTCCATATCACTGGTGGATTCTAGGGGAAATTTTACCATAGAAAATATACGGTTGGATAAACACGAGCTAGAATTAAAGTAAAAGTAATTATACATAGCTGGTGCTTATTGATCTAGAGATTATTTTTTTAAAGGATTTGAGACATCTTAGAACACTCAAATTATCATGTGAATGAAATTACAGAATTGGCAAATTGTGGGAGGTGAAGCATGGAGTAGTAGTGAAAAAAAGAGCAGAGGAAAAAGAAAGGTTTAATTCTTGGCATTGTCCAGAAAACTTTCTAAAAGGTATAGAACAGTTAAATCTCCCATTAAAGGGCATTTTATAAAATGATAAAAATTATATTTGAACATTATATTTGTGCTTATAAAATTATGCTTTTATTTTTCTAGGAAATGAGTTCTGCTACCAAACACCACCTAACTCAACAAATTACAGAACACCCACGAAAAAAAATTCAGAAAAGTAATCCAGAAACCAGATTGAATCCTTTGATATTCTCTGAAGATTTTAAAACTGCTATTAAAACTGCTTTCCAAAGAAAATTGGAATTGATCTGTGGTAGTATGCATAATTTACTTATTATTTTTAAGTCTTATATTGATCAGTTATTTTTGTAAACGCTGAATTTGATAAGTTAGTTATGAAAAAATAACTATGTGGAATACATTATGGTATGTTTTGAATAATTTCAGTTGGTACCTGTCTTTTTATCATAAAACAGAAACTATATTCAGCATGTTGGCCAAGAAAATAATTAAATTCCTTTAATTCCATATACCTTTTATTACATGTCATTTACCTAAGATTGCACATTTGTGTTCCCATGGGAAAGGTTTCTGAAAGTTGTAACTACTATGAGTGAAGGTAGACAGCAACCTTTTTCCACTGGCAGGTCAGGTGATATCTAGAGGCTTACAACCTCTTTTATGTTTCAATGGACATGACCAACTGGGTAGAGAGAGAGAGAAAATGCTTTAGCAAGCTTTTTGTGATGGAAGGCCCAGGAGGAGATGAATATATTAACACATTTACTCCTGAATTTTTATTCATTCTGTATTAAGCAACCAAAAGTCAGAGTAAAAATGGGGAACTTAAGTCATGAAAGGATAAAAAAAAAAAAGAACAATTGCATATGTCTGTAAGTCTAACATATTTGTGATGTATTAAAGATATACCTTTATGATAAATTGAACTGACTGCAAGATGGAATTAATTCAAATTCTTACTGACCAAATTTTTATTTCAGACATAGTTTTTGATGAGCTTTTAGAATACAATAGTATCTTGAGCTCAAAATGTATGTCAAGTGGGGATACTTAAAAGTCTTCTAATAACTTGCCAAAACCATTGTTTGAATCAGTAATTTTCACCTGTTGTTTTCTGTGTACAGTTATAAATGACTTTTAATGTTGATTTGTATCAACCAGCTTTATCAAAAATAGAATAAAATACAGGTTATTTACTAGTGTTCATAAATCATTTTGAAATTCTGAAATGATACACACACCTCTTCACACAGAAAGCTGTCTTTCCCGTGCATCTCTTTTAGAGATTTGCGTGCCACTAACCTTCAGGTCACCTTCACATAAAATCACAAGTTTTATCGTGAGTTGTGCTACTGCATAATGATATTATTATGCAGCAAAAGTCCTCCACCAAGAGGAGGGTGACACAATCTCCCTGCAATAACTCCCTCTATGCTGTTGTACTAGTGAATTTTCATTCTTTTTTTCAGCACTTAACACACCAGACATGATTTTTCTTTGTTAACTTCAAACTGTGCATATTTAATGTCTTCTACTACTTGTATGAGTGACTAGTTTCTTTACACACATTATATATATATATTAATTTTGGCTTCTGCAGACACATTCCCTGGGGATGACATGTCAACCATTATGAATATGTGGGTTCCCTTATGCAGTCTGGATCTTCAGCTCCACTCCCTTCTAATTTTGAGTTAAATGAGGATAAATAATTTTATTATTCGTTCACATGGTTTTGCTTTGGGAATTTTTCTTGTTGTTGAAGAGAAACCTTAAACTTTTTTACATTTCAGGCCTAATTTCTCAGGTATGCACCATTCTTTTTCTTTCCCCTGTATCATATTCTTCTTCTTGTTCCCTACTTCTTAATCCTAAACCTAACTCATTTTCCATTTCTGGACCACTTACATTTTCACAACATCAAGCCTCACCTTCCCTGTCTATCTGATTCTTATTTCCTCAGATTTAATCATTCTGCATCCCATTTTGAGATTCTCAATTTGGGGTTGCTTTTGGCTGTTGGGAAGAGGGAATATTTGGTGTTAGTTTACACCTCCAGTACCTAATACTCCTGTCTTTGCCCTTTTTACCACAATTCTTTACCTCTCCTCTCTACACCTCAAGTCTGAGGTACTCCATCATGTCTCAGAGCTGGTTCTGGCTGTTCCATTTCTACCATACCCTGCTCATTTGCCTCTTTGTTACTGAAGATTGTTGGGTAGGGATATTCTCTTATCCCAAGTTTTGCTTATTTTTTCCCTTCACCTAGCTCTTTTCTTTGCCCTGAAGTTGGAGGCATTCCTTATTTGATTGAATCCTGGGCTTAGACTGCCTGTCATTAATCCTCACTTTTGTACTTTGTTTCCACACTGTCCCCAACCTTACCCTCCACTATATTACCTTGTCTTAGTTTCTAGTTCCTAGTCTTTTGTTTCCCACTTCTCCACCTCCTCTTCTACCTGGCACAAGACTATTTGAGCTTGTTGATGATGTTGCTGTTGTATCAGGTCCCATAAATTCCTGGCTGTCACTTTTTGAGCTCCTGTGGTCACACTTTTCCATCTACACATGGGTTATTCTACTTTTTACCCATGGATGATTCAGTTCCTTTCCCCCTTCTCCTTAAAGTACTCCCTTTGTTTCATTTCCTCCTTCCACTCCCATCTATGTCTAATGTCTCATGGAAGCTGTGTTTAATCACCACTTCCAATAATTCCTCATTCCTACTCAATATCTTATTCACTGGAAAGTGGGGGTTCAACTCGTTCAAAGCTGGAAACAGCCTTCTCCCTTCCGCCCGTGAGCTATGAACGTATGTTCACTAGGATTCATGCTTATTTTATTCATTCTGCAGGAGAGGTTTATTCAATTCGACCGACCTCGTAACCACCAAAAAAAAAAAGGAAATAAACCTAAATTAACCTTTTTTTCTTTCTAGAATGACTTCAAATTGTAACATGAAACTACATTCGTTTATCCCAAGTAGCTCTAAGTTTGTAACATCATACATCTATTTATAATTAAATTTTATTGCCCTTTGAACCATATCTAACTACTATCTGTGCCATTATAAGTTATAAAGCACTCGGGAAACGTGCAGCTCATGTTATGCTATCGATTTATATTATCCATGAGCTGCTCACGTGTGTGACTCAAGAATCATTTTAATTATATTATTATTATTACTTACAAATTCACTTACCTCTCAAAATTTTTCTGGCTATCTAACTATGCAACAAGAGCCGTTACAAATTCATCCAAGCTACTTGTTAACTTTCCCATGGGAACGAATCTTGTACTGTAAGTGAAATTGACAATATTCTGTTGAGAATACAGAGTTATACAGTATGTCATTTGATATATGAAAACCTTGACTTTCTGTTGGTTATAGGTAATATATAATGAAATGTAAGAGAGAACTATCAACAAATTGTGAAAGAGAGGATGTGACAGGTGGGTTTGGGAGGAGGGGTCTGATTTTCTATTTGATAGCTCTGTAAGCAAACAGAATTGAAGACTATAAAAATTATGGTTTGTCTGAGCAATAGTGATTTTATAGAGAGTAATTTATGTTTAATTTCACACATTTTTGAGGGGTGATGTATAAAATAGGAATGATGACATGCTAAGACAAAATGTGTCATGTGGGTCACACTAGTGGAAATTCAGGATTTTTTAAAATATTCCCTCGTAGAATTAAGAACTTAAACTTGTATACTATTAAAATATGGATTATTAACTAAGAATTGGTGTAACAAAACAAAAAGTAGTATAATAAAATTTTGAATGTAATATACTAAAACCTTGTGTCATGCACAGTAAAGGGTAGCTGGGGTGATAGGGTTAACTGCCATGGGGGAATCTGATCCAGGCCCTCTTTCTTTCAAATCCTGAACCTTCCTTATTGGGTCAATTCTCAACAGGTTGGTTTCCTCACCTGCTATGAATTGTGTTGCAGACTGCCTCTCTTGGCCGGACCTTGTTATGTCTGCAGAATGGTATCTTCCCCAGTTTTTCCATTGGGGTTGCTCTCTTGGGGACTCTACTCATTGTTGCCTTGTCAACTCTTTCAATTTCATGCTTTCTCTCTTCTGATCATTTGTTCTCCATCCTTCATCCCTGGCTTTTGATACCTTCTGCCAAGTATTGTCACATCCTTATCATAATACTCACTTACCTCTGTGTCTATTACCTTGGATCTTGGCCTTGACTTGAGACTCCTTGTCATGTCCTCTTGGTGGTTCATCTTTTGCTAGCTTAACCTTGGTTCCCTCTTGTATGTCACCTATCAACCCAACATCCTCTTCTCTTGCCAATTACACACAATTACGTAAATCTTCAAACCCATGTTTAACATGTTATTAACTGTATCAGTAATAACGTACATCTTCAAACCCATGTTTAACATGCTATTAATTGTATCAGTAATAACGTACATTTCCAAACCCATGTTTAACATGCTATTAACTGTATCAGTAATAACATACATTTCCAAACCCATGTTTAACATGCTATTAACTGTATCTGTAAGAAAATACATTTCCAAACCCATGTTTAACATGCAATTAATTGTATGAGTAATAACGTACATCTTCAAACCCATGTTTAACATGTTATGAACTGTATCTGTAATAGTTTGAATATGCCCCAACCACACCACTGAAATTGAATCTCCGACCTCTTATGTGCAACTACTTGGATGACCATGTTCTTATTTCACCCATACCAGTGACACATGGGCCTTTTGTGCCTTTTCCTCCCTTCTATATTGGTCGAAGAGTGTACTCTTGAAGAGATGTGATGCAATCTCCCACGGGTGTGCCATCAAGGCACCTTCTAAAGGGAGCTCATCTAAGTAAATTTTACACCATTCCTTTCACCATATCAATGTGAGATTCTAGTTTTCTGTGTGTAGAGTTGTGCATCATCTTGGAACTTAACATTTTTCCTTACCTGCAAATTTATTTTCAATAAATGCTCACTACTGCACACACACTTCCCATCCTCCTCCCTCCTTCTGCTGTACTTTAAACATACTTTTCTCATTGAGCATGAAAATTCAAGGTGCAAAAACAGAGAGGGAGTTAATGCTCAGGGTGAGGTTGTGTCACCATCCTATTAGTGGAGAGCTTTTGCTGCATAGCAACATCATTATATAGTAGCACAATGCACAAGAAAACTTGTGAGATTATATGGGAGTTGCCTAAAGGCTAGTGGCATGCAAGTATCTAAATCAAATGCATGGGTAAGATAGCTTTCTGTGTGAAGAGCCAAGTATCTATTGGAAATACATTTTCAGATAAGGAAAATGTTAACTTTAGCTTCATTGAATTAAGAAGTTATTTCTTTTGTTAAAAGAAAGCAAAAATTCTAGTTGTAGGTGTTACAAAGTAGTTTTCTCAGAGATGTTGCCATCAGTATCTAGCATGGTTAAAGCTTCTTTAAGAACCTGATTTATTAACTATGTAATGAAAACTCTGCCATTAGTGGATTCAAGATTAATTTAACTGTAGTTAGTCTTTGGTTTTCTCTATGTGTTAATTGAACATCATTTTTTATGAGTTATATTTGAGAATGTCATTTTGTACTTAGATGTAATGAGATTAAGGTTAATATGTTTTATGCTATGTTTAGTTATGGTTTACTTAATTAGTGAGAATATTTTTATCAAAATATATCAGAAGACTTTTGTCTCAATCAGAAAATGGAGAAACAGTCTTGGCAGATCCTTTTCGCTGCTGTGTGTTGCCCAATTTCATCAAAGACGACAGTGAGACTTTTCTAGAAGCTCTCAAGAATGAACTGGTTGAGTTGAAGTTCACTGAGAAAAACAATGATTTGTATAAATTTCATCAAGTATGTTTCACAGTTTAAATCATATTGGAATGAAGTATTTCTAAATAGTTATCTCGTAACCATTTTGAGCTTGTTATAGTTTTCATGCTATAAATTTTAAATTAATGAGCAAATGTTAACAAAATTTGGTACATTATCAATAAACATTACAATGCTTTCATATGCAAAATATACATTTTTTTAAAAATTAAATCTTAAGGTTTGTAAAGCAATGTTTTTCTCATGTCTGTTTTTCTTTTTGCATATTGCCTATCTAACATGCAAAGTAATTTTCATTTTAAGATTAAAAATACTTTTATGCATCAGAAAATTTTCAAACTTCATCTGCGAAATTTTTATAGCATCCAGATAGTTATCAAACGTTTCTTAAGGAAAAACTTTATATTTTATCTGTTATTTTCACTAACAATTCTCTGTACGAGTTCAGTCAATTTGACCAATCTCGTAACCACCATAAAAATTAGGAAATGAATATAAATTATACCTTTTTCATTCTAGAATGACTACAAATTATAACACAAATGTTTAGATTAAATAGCTTAAATCTCATAACATTATACATTTATATATATTTATTATTTTTATTATATTGACCTTTCAGCCATGCCTGGCTACCAATACAGAACTTACAATGATGCGGCACACGTGCACTCATGTTACCGTATCCAATAACATAAAACTGACCTTTAGTCTGTCCAAAGTGACCTGTCTTGACTGCATTTTAGTAGACTAGTATTTTGTAAAAGACAGTCACATTTCAATTATTATACATTATATATGTATATAATTTATTGCTATTTTGAAATAAGTTCTTAAAACTTATTTTCTTAAACATAGAATAGTAAATAACGAAGTAAAGCAAACAATTATCTCTTCTAGTTATGCCCTTTGTACTCAGTTGCTGCTTGATGTAGGTTGCTAAGCCTTTAAAAAATTTGCAAGTTGGGGATATGAAACAAAATAATTTTTTTTAGGTTTTATATATACATTTGAATAAC